CTAGGCTTTAACAAAGAGTTAATTATATGGTAATGAAGTTATATGTAGACTAGTATAGCTTAAAACAGTAAGCTTAAAGCAATAAATAATAAACAAATTTTCTCAATTCTTTATAGCTTAAATCAACGTTACTAGTAACTAGGCTTTACTTTTGGATAAAAATGAACTATTTCTACTACACATGTTAGGGCATAGCCAATGCAGGTATGCTGGGTCAGGGCACAGCTCTCCAGCAGGCCTCCTGCACAGGCAGTTATGGGCTGAGTCCCGCACATCCAGCAGAGCATGATTCGCCCCCAGAGTAAAAAGCAAAATAAAGTCTACCATGAATTTAGATGTGCAATTACTAAAATCAGCTCAGAGCTTAGAACAAGTTGATCTATAAATACTGACTGACTTTGCGGAGAATTTATTAACTCACACCAAAACAACTTTTCTTTTTTAAAGTTATTTTCTTTCATTTTCTCTTTTTCTTTTTTATTTTTTTGGATAGGCTTTTGCTATAGGGTGCATGCATTCGCCGAAAGACAAAGACAGAGAAAGACAGAGGGACAGAAAGCGAGAAATCACCCCCCAGGGGAGATGGCCACACTGCAATCCCCTCTCCTCCATTCTCCTCTCAGGATCTTGGGCATGCACGCACATGCGCCCGGCGTGAGTTTAAGCCACCAGGTTCGGGACTCGAATCGTGGTCGAGTACGTGGGAGTCCAGCGACATAGCCATTACGCTAACTGCTGGTCCCTTTAATTTTATTTTTTATTATTATGTTTTAATTTGACCAAAGAGAAATAGAGAGAAAGAGAGAGAGAGAGGAAGAGAAAGTAAGAAAGTAAGTCACCAGGTCTAGAACTTGAACTACAGTTGGCCATGTGGGAGGTCCAGCACCTTAACAATTACACCACCTGCTGGCTCCTCAAAACAAGTTTTGACAACAGCTGTATTAAGTATTTTGCCCAAAGTCCATTAGCTAGTTAATTTTACTGGTCTGGGGCCAGCCTATGGCATGGTGGTTAAGGCATTCGAATCCCACATGACCGACCGAATGAACAACTCAAATCCAAGACCTGGGTGCATTTGCATGCATGCCCAAAATCCCAAGAGGAAAATGGAGAAGGACCTGCGGCATGACCCACCCCTTGGGGAGTGACTTCTTTCTCTCCCCTCTCTTTCTCTCTGGCAAGCATGCATGCCCTATAGCGCACAAAAAAAAAAAAAAATAAGCTAGGTTTTGAATGTTTCTGGACTTCGTAGTGTTGATACTTCATTTTGGCTTGTATGAAATATTAATAAAAATCCTGTGTATCTGTGAATTTAGGGATGTTTAGTCTACCAATGTGATACTTTAAAAGGGGGGAAGTGAGAAATTTCATATGAAAAATTCACTTCATCGGGGGAAGAAATAACAATATTCTGATATTTCATTTTTAAATATCTTTGTTTAAAGTTTATCTCTTCCATGAGTGAAAGAGATAAGACAGACAGCAACCTAAAGTGTTTTGACGGCAGATTCACCCCTAGCTTTCGCCAGCCTTGGATCACTGGCACATACGTGCTTGGCATATTCAGGAGGATCCCCAGATGCAACTGGAACCTTCCCATGTGGGTCAGCCTTGCAGAGCATCATGTTTTACCTCTGCCATCATCTCACCCCTAGCTTTAAATAGTCTGTAGTTGATTCAGGAAAGGGAGGCATATTAATTTATTAATTCACTGAGTATTTAATGAATCCCTGCTATGTTCAAGGTACTATTCTAATTACTGACCAGGGGAAGGGAGACAGACAAAATACGGTACGTCAGATGGTTTTGCTATTAAAATAAAGGGGTCAGGAAGTGGCACTGTGGTAACGCCACTGTACCCACATGGGTACCATCCTGAGTTCACATCTCTGGCTCTCTGTAAGGATGCCAGATTCCCAAACACAAGCCCAGGATCCCAGTTGGCTGAGACTGGGGGGTATCAGGGCTGTTAGGACCCTGCTGGTGGTACTTGTCTCTCTCTGTCTCTGTCTCATAGAATAAATAAATAAGGACCCTGCTGGTGGTACTTGTCTCTCTCTGTCTCTGTCTCATAGAATAAATAAATAAGGCTTTAAAAAAATATATGAATAACTAGAATGTTGCTGTGAGAGAAGTGAGCAGGGATTATAACCTTAAAAACCATGTTCAAAGATGGTCTCTCTGAGATCATGGCATTTAAACAGAAACCTAAAGATGAGAAAGAATTATTCAAATGAACTATGGTATCTACCAACTTCATTTTAATTTGGTAAAATTATAGAAACTTTCTTTTGTTTGAGGTAACACATTCTGAACCAAATACATGTCAAAATGGATGAAATTGTTTCTAAAGGCTGTTTAAGTTTTAGTCTAGTAAAAATACATATAAATTTATGACAGAATGATCTCTTAGTCTCAGTACCTTTACCAGTGAAACAGTGATAAAAGTAGGAAAAAATCTCAAAGGGATGTTGCGAGGATATATAAAATGCCACGAGAAACACAGGAAGCCAATTCCATGCAAATAACAACCACTCGGTACATATGGGATTTGATATAACTATTATCAAAATGGGCACGGGAAAAGTGGTAGCCATTATTATGGCTGTGTTCTGGAAGGCTTAGAAATCTCTAAAACACTAACTCCCTTTAAATGGTCAGGGTACAATGAGAAAAACAGTACTGCTTTATTCTGATAAAATCTTTCTTACCTGTTGAAAAGAATCTTCAAACAATGTCTGCCGGGACACATTGATCTTTACATGACTGGGTAGTGCATTAGACTAAAAATAAACGAACAAAATCACAATAGCATGTAAGCTACAGTATATGTATTATGTAAAGATAAGACTATACAATTATGAACATAAGATTTATTTACCACTGTAGTACCTGGCACAAATAACGGAAGTGGGCAAGTTTCCACCTGAAGCTGCGCTCATAAGCAATCTGTGGACCGCCTTTAGTACTAAAGAAAAACAAAAATGAACCATATATTAATTCAAAATAAAGTTGAATTTACAATCCAGTATAAAATCTAAGTGTATTTAGTGGGCCCACACAGGCTTGAGCAAGGAGGGCCATTACAAATATAGGACACCCACACACACACACCCACACACATGGGGAGGGAGGGAGAGGGAGAGGAAGACTTGCATGGATTGATATGATATATCTTGTGTGAAATAGTTACATGAGATATTAAAGTTTACTAGCTCATTTCAAAGAAAACTTTGGATAACTCTCATTATCTAAGGAGGACAGAGCTTTAGACAGAAGAGACAAGGAAGGAAATCCTACCATACCTTAAGCCTAACCTGATACTCAAACAAATACTGCTGGAGATAAACAAAAGAAAACTGAACTCCTCAGAACACAAGTGACATCTAGGTTATGTGGCTCAGCTGGTCAGTGAGAGAAGAGGCAAAGCGGGTGTGTTCTAGGAGTACAGGAACAGTTCTACTCCTGTTGAGAGGGCCTGGGAGTCTTGCTTAGTGAGTGGCAGCCCATGAGACAGGCATAAAGAACTTCCACAATCTTGGGAAACATTTCAGAATAAACGGAAAATGCTCTCTGCATTGTCAGTTCAGATGAATTCATTCATTCAACAAATATTTACTAAATGGAGAGCATGTACCTGACGTTCTAAATAGTGTGACCAATACCACTAACAATGGGGATTGAGTCTTGCTTAGTGAGTGGCAGCCCATGAGACAGGCATAAAGAACTTCCACAATCTTGGGAAACATTTCAGAATAAACGGAAAATGCTCTCTGCATTGTCAGTTCAGATGAATTCATTCATTCAACAAATATTTACTAAATGGAGAGCATGTACCTGACGTTCTAAATAGTGTGACCAATACCACTAACAATGGGGATTAAAAATGTTGTGTGACCAATACCACTAACAATGAAGATTAATGTTTGGCCTCTGTAGCACTTACATAAGAGTGAAGGACACAGATGTATAAAGACTAAGTAAACTACTGGGTTGTCAGAAAAGTTGTGACTTTTTTTAATGTAAAAACGCGTCATGACTTTTCCGACAACCATACAAACACAGTGTATTGTATTAGAATGGCATGGATGTCTTACCATTCCCACCTCTAAAAGGGGGGGGGGCACTGTTAAAGGATAAAGGATGACAAGTGGTGTGGAGAAAAGACAGGTAAGGACACGCTAGAGTGGGATTACCGTTAACCGAGATGACGAATATCACGGGAGCTATCAGGAAGAAGTTACAAGTACAGCTGTCAAGCAAGCAGCTGAATGTATGAAGTAAATTACAAGTGAGGAGTGTGAGCCAGAGATACAAAACTGGGGGTCATCAGTAACTAAATTTTTTACACCCCCCCTTTTGCCTATTGCTAGACAGTGCACTAGCCAGAGAGAGAACCCCCCCAGGGATGTGGTCACTCTAAAGTCTCTCCTTCTCTATTCCTTTCTCCTGTCAGGATTTCAGGCATGGATGTACATGTGCCTGGTATATTTTTCAAGCTGCAGGGACCAGGATTCAAACCACATTTGGCCATGTGGGATCTGGCTCCCAACATACAGTGCTTAACCACTGTATGATAGGGCTAGTCCTAGATGTTTTTTGAAAGCAAGACACTAAGATTCACCAAGAGAATGAGTGATGTTAAGGAAAAAAAGAACTAAGGGCAGAACTCTGGGTATTTGAATGTTAAGAAGCTGAGGAGTAAAGGAGGGCTCAGCAAAATAAAGAAAGGACAAAGACCAGAAAGGCAGAGAAAAATTTAAAAAGTGTGGTTCTCTGTACTACTTTTGCCAGAAGGGAGAAATGTATTGAGTCAACAGTTCTGATAAGTCATATCAGACAGAACTGCAAAACCACCCCTGGTTTAACAATGTGAAGGGCACTGGTGCCCTCGGCAAGTTCTGTTTCAGGGAAACGTCCTTAGAATTGGTTTAAGAGAGAAATCAGAAACTGCAACACAGAGACAAGTAGTTTTCCTATGAAGAGTTTTCCTAATGAATTGTCACTGAACAGACTAGGAAGGGGAAGAGTTGTGTTCTCTTTGCTGTTTTTTATTTTTTAATCTAGGAGAAGTAACAGTTGAAGAGGATAATTTAGAAGAGAAAGAAAAACTGGTGATGTAGGATAGAAAGATGTTAATTATTGGAGCAATCAGATGGGAAAGGGGAAAAAATCTAATGCACCAGCAGACAGGTTGGACTTTGACAAGGCAAGGACAGTTCATCCACATAAATGGGGGGAGGATAGATGGTGGCAAGTTGTGATGGTGGGAACTTGCCAAAGATCTCTCACAATTGCTTCTTATATTTCTTGGCGATGCAGACACTACATTTAAGAGGAAGGATGAAGGAGAAATGTGCTAACTGCTTAATTATGATACCCTAATCTGGAAAATTCACTGACCATCATGTTCCCTGATGTGGCAGCAGTATGATGTGACATTAAGAGCAGACTCTGGAGACAGACTACCTTGGTCTGAAACCAGCTCCGTTACTCGCATTATAAGTTAGCTTGGTTAATGGGCTCCCTACGTCTGTTTTCTCACTTGGTAAAGATGAAAATACTAGTGTCTACTTCAAGGGGCTGTTGGAAGATAAAATGAGCCAAATATATATAAATGTTTAGGGCACCAGTAGGCTGGTGTGGTAGGTAAGGTTCTGGGCTTACACATGGCCGACCACAGCTGGAGTCCTGGACCAGGTGGTTTGAAAATCACATTGGGTACACGTACATTTGTCTGTGTGAGTGTGTGTGCCTAAAATCCTAGGAGGAGAATGGAGAAGGGATTGCAGTGTGGCCATCCCCCCAGGAGGTAATTTCTCACTTTCCCTCTTACTGTCTCTGTCTCTTTGTGGTTAGTGCACACTCCTATAGCAAAAACTATATATATATATATATATATATATGTGTGTGTGTGTGTGTATATATATATACACACACACATATACATACATACACATACACACACACATGTATATGTATATATATATGTATGTATGTATATACACATATAGTTGTGCATGTCTTCTGAAAGTGAAAAGTAGAATGTGTTGCTGAACTCACAGACACCACCTCAAGCCCTCATTAAGTAGCATTTAAGAACTTTAGTTTTTCACTTACACAGATGACTTCCCATTGCGAGGATCTTTGAATGTTGTTGTTCTTGTGTTATGATCAACAAAGTACCTAACACCTTCTCGGGTATACCTTATTTCCCAGCCCTCTGGCAGGGGTTCTTCATTCTGTAAGCTAAAAGGTACAGTTACAATCACAAAGCGGACATTTTCTAGGGACTGAAAACATCTGTCTTAAAGTTCATTGATTCTGTCTAATGATACAAGCAAAGTGACTTGAGTAAGGTTATAGTATATGCATACCCTTGAGTTCTTGGATCCTCCCACTGTGTTGTTTTTGTGTTATGATTGACAAAGTAAACCCTGTCTGTTGAATCCACTCTTTTCTCTAGAAAACAATATGAGCATAACATTTAATAGCTTATCTGACATATATACCTTACAGTCATTTGTACCAACAACCTATCTGCTTACCCCAGCCTGGTGGCAAAGGTCCATATGGGTCATTTTCTGCTGCTAACATTGAAGCCTAATTGGAGAAGGGGTTGGGGAGAGAAACAAAGTATTTTATTAAGCTTGGTAAAATCATATCTTAGGATTTTTAAAAATATGATAAATAAGTGTGAATACAGTAATTTCAAAACAAAAGTTTTAAAAATATAGTGAGGTAAAAGGTGCAAATTAACTAATACAACTGTTAGTTTTTCTAAAATAATTTAGAAATAATTTATCAACAGCATATTTTAATATCCTAGGGCTTCCATAATAAGTTACAAAGTTAAGATGGAAGAAGAGCATATAAAAAAAGGATGGTGTTCAAATGAAGCAGTATTTTTTGTTTAAAAACAGAAAATTTATCACTTTAAAAGAAACACCTATGAATAAGACCAATATTAAACTCCAATATCATCTTAACAGAAATATACTTTTTTTTAAGGTTTTTTTTTGGTCTTAGGGTGAGTGCACTCACCAGAGAAAGACAGAAAGAGGGAAAGTGGAAATCACCCCACCAGGGAGGATGGCCACACCACAATCCCTTCTTCTAAATTCTCTCTCTGGATTTCGGGCACTCACATACTCGCCCATATTTTCAGTCCACCAGGTCGAGGACTCAAACCGTGGTCAGTCACATGGGACTCTAGCATCTATACCAACACACCACATGTTGGCCCTGAAATACACTTTTTTAAAAAAAAATTTGGTATACTGCTATGTGGGTTTTGTGTTTTTTTTGTTGTTGTTGTTAAGGTTTTTGCCATAGAGCGTGTGTGCTCACCAGAGACACAGAGATAAAGAGAGAGGGAAAGAAAAAGTGAGAAGTCAGTCCACAGGGGAACGGCCATGCCACAATCCCTTCTCCTCCATTCTCGTCTCAGGATTTTGGGCACATGCACACATACCAGGTATAATTTTCAAGCTAGTAGGTCTGGGAATCAAATCGCCTTGGCCAAGTCAGAATCCATGCCTTAACCACCACACCACCTGCTGGCCCTTAGAAATACACTTTTATCTCGTCTTTTATATATTCATACAAAGACAGAAAACACATTTTATGTATGCATATATATTACTGCAATCTAGAACTATATCTTAAAGAAAATACAAACATTCTATCATAAATTCTAATAAAAATGACAAATATAAAAATCATTACCTGAAAAATAATTTACTAATAAAGTATATGTAACTTGGTGACTATTTTATAATCTTCTAACAGATACTGCTAAGTGCAACTTTCATTTCTTCCCACTTCCTTCTTGTTAACCAAACCACTGCTTTGTTCAAGGCAGCAATGTGTTCATAAAGAATATTCCATTCTCTGCTTCCCTGGCTGCTGAGTTGGTAGACAGACCAATTCTGGCCAATGAGGTATGCAAGCAGAGGCCATGGTGAAGGCCTTACTTTCTCAGTAAAAAAGCAAGAATTGGCTAGGTTTCTCCCCTTTTCATTCCCTTTTCCTTTTCTTTTTGCCTGGACTGTGGAAGTGAAGCCCAGAGAAGAGCAACTCCACATGATGGAAGTAAAAGGAATGAAGCAAGATATCAATGCAAAAAAGCAGAGGACCTGGGTACTTGGTGGTGCTGCAGGGCCACTAGAATTTTCATCCTGGACTCTTAGTCCAGGCTCAATGTTGTACTCAGATAACTGAACCTCAATTGTGTAAGGAGACTCTGTTATCTGTAGGAGAACACACTTCTGATATATAGCATATTACCTAATTTTGCCATTTCCCCAAGGTTTTCATGTGTATAAGTAAATCCAACCAAAAGCAAAATTATATAATATATAATTTCTTATTTACTATATATAGCTAAACTAGGGACCTTACCACAGATTTCTGTACAAGTGATAACCATCAAAGAACCACCAACTGGTGTCAGCAAGATATACTATGGAAATTGGGCTGCCCAGCTCCTTCTTTGCTGACTACTGATAACTAAAAAGAGTGGGTTAACCTGCAAGTAAGAACTTATCTAACCTCTAAAAAAGAGGAGTGGAAAATGCCAGCCTGAGGCAGAATTCCAAAGAAAATTATTTAGGTATTCTTTTCATGTCTCTTTTCTATCTGCTATCCTCTTTACATGCTTTATTTCTTCAAGTTGTCTCAAAACACTATTTAGAGCTGCTTAGTACTTAAAATTTATCTTTTCCTCCTCCTGTAATCAAACTCTTTATCAGCTGTGTTCTTTCTGTATTGTTTTTTCTAGTCCTCTCGTGGATATATGCTTATGGCAATACATAAACCACCAGTTGGTCAAATTTCTAGACAGCTATATATTTTTCAGACAAAACTATCTCCAATTGCAAGAATATCTTTGATGTGTCAAAAACAGATGAGTATTGTTTCTTAGAATTTGGCATGAGAATCAGAATAGCTAAAATATTGGAAGACTGGACCTAAATAAAACCTGAAGTAAATTGTCTAAAACAAAACTGTTATAATTAAAGGCAGAGAATTGGTAAAGATGTCAGTTTATTATGAATTTGCATTTGTGGGACCAGTTAGCATAATGGCTATGTCGCTGAACTCCCATGGAGCCAACCGCGGTTCAAGTCCCGGATCCGGTGGCTTAAACTCACGCTGGGCGCATGTGCGTGTGTGTACCCAAGATCCCCAGAGGAGAATGGAGGAGAAGGGATTGTGGCGTGGCCATCCCCTTGCGGGGGGGGTGGTTTTCTCGCTTTCTATCTGTCTCTCTTTCTGGCGAGTGCACGTGCCCTATAGCAAAAAAAACCTCTCTAAAAGAAAAAAAAAAGAATCTGCATTTGTAACTTTAACCCTTATGAAGGATACAAAACTAAATGCATAATTATGTTAGTGAACAAAAATATTTTTAAAATACAAAGTGCTTACATGTATCAAAATACTTACTAACATTTAACAAAAAAAATACCTTGTAATGTAGTCTGTAATATTTCCAAAAATTATCAAAGTAGAAAAGGGCAACTGCCTGAGGAAAAACGTTGTACTAACATCTTATCATTTGGTAATTACCGAATAGAGGTATCGTTGGTTGAACTGTTGCATAGCTCCCTGTAATTGGTTCCGCTGAGACTGCCACTGTTCAAAATTCCGCACAGATTCCATGGTAGGCCGCTGCCACGTGGTTGTTCGGGTGTTATGGTCAACATAATATACTCTTCCACGATCATCGACTCTTCTTTCCCAGCTACCACAAATAAAATAAACAATGTCTCTCAATGTCAGAAAACGAAAAGCTGATTTAAAAACCAAGTTCAAGACATGATACTGATATTCTTCAGATAACCTATGAAACTATTGGGCTGGCCTCTTGGCCCAGTGGCTCGGTCTGCGCACGGAGAGGTAGATTCCACATGGCTGACCACGTTTCAAACCCTGGCCTCATAGCTTGAAAAACACACTGAGTGTGTATGCCCACTAATGAGATGGACAAATAGAGAAGAGGACTTCTGTGTGATCACACTCATTTAGGGAGATGCCTTCTCTCTCTGGCACAGGGACGTGTTCTCTAGCAATAAAAAAAAAAGTTCTATGAAACTATGAGCTACTTAGTAAACTTCCCACTCTATTTACTGACATGATTTCTAAAGACTGTCTAAAAAAAAAAGAGTCCATTATTTGAATAGTTTCAGTACCAAACTGACTATCCTTTTTCTCTTTTTTCTCCCACAAAAACAAATGAATGAAATGTAGAAAAATCTCAACATATGAAAAATGAAATTATTTAAGCTAATTAAATACATTTTTAAATCACATGTGTAATAAAATACAACCAAAGAGAGCCAGCTAGGTGGGCAGTGGTTAGGGCAGCTGGATCTCACATGACTAAAGACATGGTTCAAGTCCTAGGCCTGGTGATTTTAAAAACACTCCAGTCACGTGTGTGTGCATGCCCCAAATCCTGAGAGACGAATGGAAGAGAAGGGGTTATGGCATAGCCATCCCCACTGGGGGGGTGATTTCTCACTTTTCCCCTCTCTCTGCTTCTCTCCAGGGAGCTCCAGGCATCCTACAAAAAGAAAACCAAAACAAAACAAAAAATCAAAACAAAACCAAACAAAACCTGAAGATACATAGACGTTGCATTACCCTGGAGGTAAAGGCTGTGGTCTCTCCCACGTAGTAGTTCGAGTGTTATGATCCACATAATAGGTTCTGCCATGAGGATCTTTTCTCTGTTCCCACCTTTAATAAACATACAAAAATAAAGGACAACACAACTAGGACAATCTGAAAAGGATTTATTATAGTCAGAAAATTACTCTTGTTATAATCAGAAAATTAAGTCTTTCTCTCGCTCAAGATTAAAAAAAATAACTGTGGTATAAAATCCTACATGAAAACATTCATGCTATTCATTATGTAAGAATTTAAGATATTCCTTATAAAGAATTTCATTAAAAATAACCTGAAACTTCAGATTTACACACTTCTGCCTATAAAAAGTTCATTAAAAGGGAGGACATAACTTCAGGATTTAATTTTAAAAGCATTTCAGCAATACCAATAAAATATATCAATGGGCTACTTATCTGTATCAAAGTGTAGTAACGAAAAACAATGATTACCTAAGAACCTGATCAGGTTTAAGAACTTTCTGGTAATAGTACTTTTGCTATTTTTAGGTAATAATTCCCATAATTAGTCCTTGAATTATTATTATTTAGGAAAGATGCTGATTTTAACCCTTTTCTCACCCTTCACATAGTTTAAATGGTCACATAGTGTACGAGGCTCCTGCAAGAAACAGTGCCTGCTGTCTCCTTTACTTCATTTTCTCCTCCCAAAGGCAACACACTCAATTGTTTTAGTCAATTCGTTTTGTATTTACCTTTTTCTTAGTAACATGCTTAACTTCCTATTAGTAATTTCAAACATAGTGTCTTAACTTTTCACTACGTACGATGAAGCTGTAGACCTCTTCCCAGTACACATACACACATTCTCTAACACTTACCCCCTCCCCACTGTTCCAAACACACACTCATGCTGCGCTCTCCCCTACAGTTACAAGCATACCTCATTTTATTGCACTTCCCTTTGTTGTGCTTTGAGGATAATTGCAAATTTCTTATCAACTGAAGGTGACAAGCAAGTGTATTGGCACTATTTTTCTAAGACCACGTGCTTGTCACTCCATGTCTGTCACATTTTGGTAATTCTTGCAATATTTCAAACATTTCCATTATTCTATCTGTCATGGTGATCTATAATTAATGATCTTTAGCATTACTACTGTAATGGTTTTAGGTTACTACAAACTACAACCACAGAAAATGGCAAACTTAATCAATAAATGTTGTGTGTGTTCTGACTGCTCCCAGGGTAATTCCACTGCCTGGCACCAGGTAGTGATAAGAGCGAGTCCCCAGTGTGGAGGTGGTGACCAGTGTAGGCCTTGGCCAACAATGAGGAGGAAGCTGGTTGGTAGATAGAGGTGGCACAGGGATAGTAATAAAGGGAGACTCCCTGGCTCTATCTTTGTGACTCACAGTGATGGCCCACTAAAGCTATTTTAAAAGTGGTGGGCTGGATTTGACCAGAGAACGGTTACCCAAGTAGTGGAAGAATATATAACTATTGCCAAACTAGGTGCAAATGATCTGAATGATTAATAAGAATTCTCGATAGAACTCTTTAAGTTTCTGAAGAGGAGTGTTAATTTATAAATGACACACTTTACCTTCAACCATAGTTCTCTAATATTAACGTATGGTTTTCCAGTCTCACTAAAACATTACATACCGAATTTTCAAAACCTACCAGTAAACAAAGATCTTGTCCAAAAAAAAGTAAATGCAGAAAAACTTTGTACAATATATTACAACAACAACAAAAAATAAAATCCAGTCACTGGCTAACTACTGGTTTCAAATGTAAATAATGAGGTAGATATTAAGACTGTTGTCTCAGAAACCAGAACCTACACCTGTGCTTCTCTCCTGTGTTGACAATCTCTATCTCCAGTGACTCCCTGCCCTCAGCTGACCAGCCTTAAAGTCTCTTCCACTGTACAAAACAAATGACCTTGCGGTTCTATTAATATAAGTTTTCTTATCCACTTGTATCAAAATTTCGTCTTTTTCTGTCTTCTCAATTTTTTTTTATATATATGATCAGTTATATAATTAGGTTCTTGGCAAGAAATTTAGAACACCAATTTGTGAGGATAAACTCCGTTTGTCAGGGCAAACACGGATCACAGGTAGCCCTGGAGCTTAGGAACAGCTTTGATTTTTGGTAAAATTTGTGAGTCCACAGCTTTCTGATCAATCTTACACTGCTCTGAAATTTCTTATTTCTCCTTCTCTGTGTAGAAGATCTCACCTTCCTGGTGTCTGGGCTTCCGCAGTTTCTTTTTCTTGAAGTAAACATTGGTACGGTGCTTTGGGATTTTTACTTTGCTAATATTAATTTTCGGGGAGGTGGCAATGACAAATTTCTGGGGTGTTCTACGCAGTGGAACGTGACTGAGAACCAGCGGTCCAGTTACAAGTAGCAAAACTACCAGTTACTACTGCTCAGCTGCTTCAGGAAAACCACTCTCTTGCCTCTGTGGCGTCCAGTGAGGATGATCAGAATGGTCCCAGGAGTAATGCTGGCTCACAGTTCTCTCACATGCTGACTGAAGGGTTTTTTGCTGTGGCTCAACCGCTTTTCAGGCACATCTTCAGTAGGATAATTCCTAGCATTTTGCGCAGTTTAACCTCCTGGGTACTGCGATTCTTGTCTCGACCAACTGGTTTTGTGACAGTCACAAGAACCTTCTCCTTTTTTTTTTCCATCCTGAATTTAGTGGCCGAGTATTTCCTCTTGTCCATGGCCTTACTGGAATCATGGCAGATCGGGAGTATCTATCTGCCCATGCCCCGGACTAGGACAAAGTTTCGGCTTCCCCTTCTTGGGCTTTATAGCCTTGGGGTCACCCTTTTTAACCTTGCCACTGGCATCAGCCTTCTTGGCTTCAGGTTTCTCCTCCTTAGTATCTGCTTCACAGCTTTTTCACCTACCATCTTGTATAGTGGGAAAGAGAACTAAACTCCCTGCTTCCAGTTTGTCTGTCTTCTCAAGTTGTATACATTCCTTCTTATCTTTAAAAGTACTTTACCAGGGACCAGCAGTTAGCGTAATGGCTAAGTCGCCGGGCTGCCATGTAGTCCACCGCGACTCCGGGTGTTTTAAAACTCGCTCGGGGCGCGCGCGCTGTGTGTGTGTGTGTGTGTGTGTGTGTGTGTGTGTGTGTGTGTGTGTGCACGTGCCCAAGATCCCAAGAGGAGAAGGGAGGAGAAGGGGTTGTGGCGTGGTCATTCCTGGGGGGGGGAGGGGGGGGATTTCTCGCTTTCTGTCTCTCTGTCTCTCTCTGTCTGTCTGGCCAGCGAGCAAGTGCCCTATAGCAAAAACCTCTAAAAAAAAAAAAAAAGTACTTTATCATACCCCCTCCCACTTATCCACTCCCAACTCCAGCAATTTGAATACAGCTCTCATCATTTCCCTGAAGCCACTTTGTAAAAGGTCAATAGTAAATAACTTCTTTGTGATTAAATTCAATGGGTGCCTTTTAGTTCTTATCTTACTTGAATTTTTCAGTAGCTTTAGACTTTGTTAATCATTTCTTCCAGAGACACTGACAAAAAACAGGGCTTTTTACCAGCTGCTCATTCACTGAAATCATTTAATCAAACATTAATTCACTTATTTAACAAATATTTATAGAGTACCTGCTACATGGCAGGTGCATATAAGTACATGGAATACAGAAATAAAGTCCCCTATTCAGTCTAATGGAAAATAACACATAGTAACACACAGAGATATATGTCACCTAGTGATTTTAAGTGTGGAAAAAACACAAAAGGGGGGGCAGAAAATGGTGCAGTAGTAATGCAAAGATCTGTCAGGCCACCACCATGGGAAGGTTCTGGGTTTACTTCCAGAGACCTCCCTGCAGGGTGCACATATAACTATGATGTAAGGCTGGCTGAGGAATAGGGGTTAGTTAGATCATGGTGCATGGACCCTGTTGTGGATACCTGTATCTCTGTCTCTCACTGTGTCTCTCTAAGAAACTTAACAAAAGTAATATAGGAAAAATGAATTCAGTGGAAAAAAATCAAAATAGTGATTGCCTCAAAAGGGAACTTGCAATTTTCTAGGGGTAATGATAATTTTTATATCTTCTTTCTGTCCCTCTCCTCTTCTCTCTCTCTTTTCTTTCTTTTTCTATAAGGAAGAGAGACAGATAATTCATTCTTTCTTTCTATCTATCTATCTATCTATCTATCTATCTATCTATCTATCTATCTATCTATCTATTTTAATTTGACAGAGGGAAAGTGAGAAAGCAAACCACCAGTTCCGGGACTTGAACTGAGGTCAGTCATGTGGAAGTCTAGCACCTTCACCACCATATAGCCTGCCAGCCTCTCTAACAGGGTCTTGACACCCTGACCCACCCTAGCTCAGCCAGTCTCAGATCATGGACACTTTAAGTGCCTGGCATACTCAAGAAGGTCTCTGGTGTAAAGCAGGAACCTTTCCAGGTGTGTCAGCCTTGCAGAGCATCTTGTTTTACTGCTAGGCCACTAACTGGCCTCCATGTCTGTATCTTGATCAGGGTTTAGATTACATATACTGTATGCATTTATTAAAACTCATCATAACGGTCCATACTTAGGACCTGTGCTTTTCCTTTTATATAAACTGTACTTTAAAAAATTTTAAACAGGGCTAGCCCTATAACCTAGTAGTTAAGGGAGTCAAATCCCGCATGACCAATCTTGGTCTGAGTCCTGGCCCTGGCAGCTTGAGAAACATGCCGAGCACAAGTGCATGTAGGCCCCAAATCCTGATAGGATGGAGAAATGGAGAAGGAACTGTAGTGTGACTATGTCCCTATAGGGTGCTTTCTCCCTCTCTCTCTCTCCCTGGTGAGCGCGTATGCCCTCTGGCTATTAAAAGAACATTTAAACAAATACGGAATTCCAGTTAGTAATATGGAAGCTTAAGTGCTAGGTGGCAAGAGTTCTGGAACTATACATATAACTGCCCCCCAGCCTATGTTTCGAGGTGACATGTATCAACTGGATGCCCTGCAAATACAGAACACTACCTACTTATTTTCCTACTCCAAGTTCAATATTCTGTCATCAGTACTTGGGTCAAATATATCACTCATCAAGCTGTCTAAAACATTATTTGGGTGAGGGAAAAAATCCAGAACCTATTTTAATCTCTTTGCAGGAACAACCCAACACTAACACATCAAAATTTCCACTGACCTGCACTTTAAATTTGTATAGACAACACTCTTAATTTCATATATACAGCTCCATTTAAAGTGAATCAAAATTAAAACTGAGGAGAATGAAGAATTATTTAACAAAAGTACTTGAAACAGCAATTCTCAAGCTGACTGTACAGTACAGTAAGTATCACTAGGTTTCAGTGATTCTGCCACTGGGTTATCTAAATAATTCAGTAAGTCACTAGAGGAAACATAGAAACTAAAAAAGATTTTTGTGCAAAGAAGTTAGGTAATGTCCGGTTGAAAGCTGCTGACGCAGAGGGTTACACAGCCAAACATACTGCCTTTACCAGAGACCTCACCTTGGTTCCACTCTTCTATTCTCCTTCCTCCCCAGGACTCGTAACCAAGCCCGTCTACATATATCCATAAGCTGCTAGCATATAACTTACTGAAGGCTCTTATAATCTCTTCCCTGATTAATGGCTATTAACCTTTTTGACCACATCTTACAGAATAAGACAAACATTTTCCATAAACATCTCTACATATACTAGATCGTCCTTTTATCCTTAGATTTTATGTACACACAACAGAAAAAAAAAATTTTTTTTTCAGCTAATAATACTATTTACTCATACTACATGTAACACACTCCAGTATTTCCTAGTCTAGACTATACTGATTTATTCATCATATCCAAATAGTGGGCCTAACCTTTTTTTTTTTTGGAGAGGTTTTTGCTATAGGGCGTGTATGCTCACCAGAAAGACAGAGACAGAAAGTGAGAAATCACCCTCCAGGGGAGATGGCCACGCCGCAATCCCTTCTCCTCCATTCTCCTCTCCAGATCTTGGGCACGCACGCATACATACCCAGCGTGAGTTTAAGCCACTAGGTCCAGGATTCAAACTGCAGTCGTCCACATGGGAGTCCAGTGACATAGCCATTATGCCAACTGCTGGTTCTGGTCATTATCTATTAATACCTTGCAACCCACAATCTGAAAAACACTTATGTAGATTACTATCAAATACTTCTAATACAAGGATCAAAATGGTGTTCAAGACATGCTAAAGCATTTATTTGGGCTGTGAAAAATTAAGTTTCTATATTTTTATTCTGAACTGTAACACCAGCTTCCTTCATTTGTAAAACAACCTGGATGCTATTCTAAGTTGTCTCCTTAACTCCTAATCTGTCATATCACTTCAAAAGTAATCTTAGTAAAATGCAAATATGATAATGCCATCTCTATGCTTAAAATTCTTCAAAGTATTTCAGGTATTCACGGTCTTCAGGAAAAACTTAATCCTTGGCAAGCATATTAAATTCTTCAGAGGGCCAATCCCTTCTCCTCCGTTCTCCTCTAGGAACTTTGGATACTCACGCACATGCGCCCAGTGTGAGTTTAAGTTGTCAGGCTTGGGACTTGAACCACAGTTGACTATGTGGGAGTCCAGCGATGTAACCATTACGCCAACTGCTGGTTCCAGCATACTCATTTTCATGAATGCTAACGATTTGAATATGAGGTTGGCTCTACTGAGAATGAAACCTTTTCACTGTGCTTCCATTCTTTGCTTTGCTAATTCCTCCCCTATCAGAAAACCACCTAAGTATCTGAAAATATTCTTTGACCTCAAAGTCCAGGTTACTCCCTGACACTCTCTCTGTATATGTTCCTTCCTGCAATCCTATGCCTGCCTCTGGCACAGCTTTAACTGCACTGTGTAATTAGACTCTGGACTTCTGGACAGGAAGAACATGTTGGTGTCACAATGGTTATCACATGTAAAACTAGGACGAATGGCTAAATTATCAAAGAGAAGAGACACAGGGACAAGAAACTTTTTGAAAGGGGAGGGAAAGATAATTTAAGGTCTGCAATGTTTGCAGGAATCACAGACAGAATTTCCAGAAAGCAGCAAAAAAGTAAGTTCAGAGAAAGGTCTGGCTCGGGCCTATTTACAAGTGAATTCAAGATTTGCTGAGGGAAGCACACGCAGAAAAAGACCAAAGGCTGAAACCACAATTACATAGTGGGCAGAGTCAGAGAAGCCTGAGAAAAAAATGTTCTGGAAGAAAGAAAAGGGTCTGAACATAGGTAGAGAATGAGATGAGAAATCCAAGGGAACAATAGGCCATTAGAGATCTCTCGAAGTGCAGTTTCAACAACCATGAATGTTAACACTCCAACTACTGCAAACGAAGTTGGAAAGCACCATGTCCATACTTCTACTGCAGCACTTTCAAGATGTAGCGCTAGGAGATGTTTACAAGTCAGAACCACCAGATGAGCTTCTCGAAGGCAGAGATAATGAATCTTTAATTAATATTAGATATCATCAGTGCCAAGTAAAGGTTCAAAACAGTTAGGTAAATATGGAGGAAATGACCAAATGGAACACACACACAGTGCTCTAACAAAATCATGGGGCGTTAAATAATTATAATATGGAAATGTAAAGGAGACTCAGAGTTACTAAGCAGCAATGAAAGACTGAGTTTGCAACAAGGCCGGTAGTAGGGTTATGTGACTTTCCCCAGAACTCGACGTTATCTAAAGAAAATGATGCCTACTTATCGTCAGGATTGAAGTCTGGAGAGCAGACCACAAAAGAAGCTAGAAAGCTGAGACTTTTACAGAGTGTCATGCTCTCATTCATTCACCATTCATTTATTTAGAGATTTTTGCTGTAGGGCATGAGAGCAGACCACAAAGGAAGCTTTTGAGATTTTTAGAGTGTCTCTGTCACTCACTCACTTATTTATTTATTTATTTAGAGATTTTTGCTGTAAGGCACATGCATGTGCTCACCAGAGAGACAGAAAGCAGGAAGAAATCACCCCCTGCCCCCCAGGGGATGACCATGCTATAATCCCTTTCCCTCCATTCTTCTCTCAGGATCCTGGGTACACATACACACGTGCCCTGCCTGAGTTTTAAGCCGCAAGGTCGGGGACTCGAACCACAGTCAACTACGTGGGAGTCCAGTGACATAACCATTATGCCATCTGCTGATCCCAATAGTCACTCTTACTGAAAAGTGAAAACCAAGAATCGAGTCACAAAGATCCTGCAAAATAACATCAGTCTTTTTCTTTTTCCTTGATACTACACATACAAGGAGGAGTAATTGTTCTTAATTTCAAAAAGTACTTGCTTTGGGGCGCGTGTGCGTGCGTGCCCAAGATCCCGAGAGGAGAATGGAGGAGAAGGGATTGCGGCGTGACCATCCCCCCTGGGGGGTGATTTCTCGCTTTCTGTCTCTATGTCTCTCTCTGTCTGTCTGGCGAGCGCACGCGCCCTACAGTGAAAATCTCTCAAAAAAAAAAAAAAGTACTTGCTTTGTAGCAAATAGTATAAAACAGATTCCAACTAAAGATTTCAAATTTCTGAACAATGTAAACATTTTAAACATACATTTAATAATCACAGAAGTCATGATGTATTTTTCTATGCAAAATGTATCATGACTTTTCTAATGACCAAATATTATCAAAAAGATGCTACTCAACTGTCAAAATCAAATATTAAAAAAAAAAAAAAAGTAACATACCCCGATGGCAAACTTTCTGTGTTTGCATTTGCAGACTGCTGTCGCACAGATTCCACACACCCATCTGGCTGTCTTAATTTGGCTGCTTCAAAAGCAGTACTATTTCCAGAACTAGAATTGTCAGAGTCTAACATACTTCTGACTTCGGAGGCCAATTCTGCACTGGCAGATGAAATACATTCATTGTTTTCTGAGAAAGTCAGTATCTCTTGAACTGGAGGATCTTCGACAGTAGTACTTGAGCAATTTGAAGGTAAGATGGTTTCTTCAGATACTATTGGAGTACTCAGGGAAGAAGCAGTATTCATTGGTGCAGATGAGGATGATTCTCCATTAACTGAGAATGGAAAGGAAACAATATCAAGTTATGACAACTCAACCACTTACCTAAACAGTCAATTACACTTATTCAACAGAACCTAATGCAGACTGAGCCTTGTGCCAAGTACTCATTAACATAAAATAAAATGGATATTATATTTTACATTATACACACTGTTTAGATGAGTATGTAAATGATAAAACTTTTAACAATATATACTAATAACCTTAAATAAAGGAAAGGAAAAGCAATATTGGAATAACAGAGTTTCCCTCCAAATTACCAATTCCAAGAAAACTTGATAGGCTATTTAAAAATTTTCAAATGGTTCCTTTCAATCTTCCTTCTCTTATGCAAATGACAGCTAAAAAGAAATATTTCCTTTTTGCCAATATTGGAAAATACACCACAGCATTTATTCTTAAAAACAGTCCTACAGGAGATTGCAAAAAGATACAGGGAGCCACTCTACACCTTCTGAAGAAATAACTTAGTACTGAGACCAAGAGATAGTCTTTGAAATTTTCATTTTAAGTGTGATTGTCTCTATAAAGACGAATTAAAATTGTAGAATAGGTTACTGAACGAAATCTATTAGAATATGACATCAAACTCCTAATGGAAATGGCAGAGGAAAATATAGTAAGAACAATGAAATTTTCATTTTTTTTTTTTTAATTTTCCAAAGGGTGCATGTGGTTGACAGAGCAACAAAGAGAGTGGGAAGGCATCCCCCAATGGTGTGAGGTCATGCCCAAACCCCTTCTTTTCCATTTCTCCGGCCTGTTCGGATTTGGGGGCACAACCCCATACACTCACACCTGGTGTGTTTTCTAAGGTCCCAACGCTGGGATTCAAGCTACATGGTCATTCAAGTGGGACCTGGCTCCTTAACCATAGAAGGTGGCCCAGACAGATTTTTCAAGGAACAGAAAAGGAACTTAAATGGTGGAAAAGAGAAAAGAATACTATTAAATAAACCAAACTGTATGTGCAAAAAAAAAAAAATATATATATATATATATCAACACATAAAGTTTTGTACCAAATACGAAGGAGACAATGGCTCTGGGGAAGGGAGGAACACAATGGAATACACAAAATAAAACATTTACCAAACTAACCTATACTCAACACTGTTTGCCATCATGGAGAAATAAAAATTTGCAGATATATTTAATTCCCATGTCTCCTATATGATATTCACTTAAGTATTATTTCATTTAATTTTTACTAATTTAATTTTTACTCTCTCATAGTGTGGAAATTAACTTCCACAAAAGAAAGGATTAGCAGTAGTCTTTCTTCCATTTTGGAGAGATTTTTCCTATAGGGTGCATGTACTTGCTGGAGACAGAGAGACAGAAACTGAGAAATCACTGCCCTGATGAAATCTCCTCCATTCTCCCGAGGATTTTGGCGAGACACAAACACACACATGCACACACACACTCACATACACAGAGTTTTAAGTCACCAAGTCTGGAACTCGAACCGCGGTCGACTACATGGGAGTCCAGCCGCATAACCATCTCCTGGCCCCAGCAGGAGTATTTTGAAAGCAAAATAACACTAAATGAATATGTGAGGAAAGATATATTCTAGTCTATTAAGAAAGTCATAAACCTCTATCCACACTGAAACACAAACTGTTAGAAACAGAGGAAGAGAAGTGAATATGAAATTTCACTCATTAGGCACTCGAGGCAGAAACCTGTTGCACACCTATACATAACAGCAAGTGCTCTGGCACTTCTAACTTTACCACTACATCCAAGTTGGTCGTTTTTGCTTACACTACTGTAACAGCCTCCTAGGTGGTTTGCCTGCCTCTTCTCTTGTCCAACTACAATCCAATCTCCAAAAACCAGCCAAAGGAACCTTTTAAAAATGTGTAACAGGGAAAGCTCTCACTTGTTGAGGCAGCCAGATACGACCTGGTGGCTTGAGAAACATGTTGGCTGCATGTGTGCACATTCCCAAAACCCCAAAGGAGGGAGAGATGAAGGAGAAGGGATTGTAGCCATGGCCATTCCCCAAAGAGGGTGAGGGGGTTTGGAGAGGTGATTTCTCCCCTCTCTCTGTCTCTTTCTGGAAAGTACACATGCCTTCCAGCCAAAATAAAAAATGAAAAAAAAAAAGAGAGAAAGAGAGAGAGAAGAAAAACATCCTTTCATTCCCCTTGAATAAACAACAGATTCTCAGGACAAGCAGGATAACACAAGTCTTTACCGTGGCCCATGATAGACTCTAGACAGGCTGATCCATGACTGTAATGCCTGACTTGTCAAAAGGGTTATCTTTCTGTTCCTTGAACAGAGCAAACTCCTTCCCAGTTAGGAATGTGCATTCTATGTCTCTGCTGCCTCAAAGTATTTTATGAATGCTTCTCATCATTCAGAGTCCATACTCAATCCTTTCAGAAACACAGTCTTCGAACACCTTTTTTAAAAAATGTTTGATGTCTCACCCCCACTCCAAGTTACATATTATACTAGTTTTATTCTTTCTCATAGTCTGAAATTATTTATTTGTTTTGATTTTTCCATTAAGGTTGAAGTGCAATAGCTTTATCATACTTGTCAGTTTTGTATTCCCAACAGCTAAAACAATTCCTGACATATAAAACCAATAAATATTTGCCAAATTGTTCACTTCTGTATTCCCAACAGCTAAAAAATTCCGGACATATGAAAACAATAAATATTTGTCAAATCAATAAATTACAGATAAATCATACACAAAAACTGAAGACAGCTATCTCAAAACTATGCAGATAATTTGTAATACAATTATAGAAGGAGTAATTAAGGATATGAAAGATTTAATAACATTATACCTGGTCTATACTTCTGAGTTAGAGGCAGTTTTGTCAAATGTGTAGACATTCCACTCAAGCTAAATTTTTAGAGATACTGACATGTGAAAGACAAAAGGGAAATCCTCAATTCTACAACCAGAAATTCATATTCTAACTACAATTCAACAAAACTAGTAACAAAACAAAATGCCATTTACTGAAATATTTATTAGGTACCTGGCAGAATCTGTTAAACACTTTTTAAAAATTATCTTATATTTTACTCTCAAAATAATGTTCTGACACAGATACAGCATTATTTACATTCTACTGTTGAAAAAACGAGTTCTTACATCCATGACAGTTCGCCCCCTCAACACACTATTTGCTTAGATGATTTTAAGAAAACAACAAAATAATTATTGTGTTGAAGAGGACATCAAAATAAATTAACAAGTTTTAGAGAAATGAATGGCAATAAAGCAGTTCTAGCAAATGTTCCTAGACATGGCCAAAGAAGAATACAAAAAAGAATGGCAATAAAAATGTCTAAATTTAATTTAAGAGACAGAAAAAAAAAATGGTAGAAGGAAATAAATCAATCAAAAGACCAGAAACACAGGTCTGAACTCCCTAATTTACCTGAAAAGAATCAGTTAGAATCTTACTGAAACTATGGATCTCAGTTCCCATTCTACAATTAACTGAATCTCATATATGGAAGGACCTAGGAATCTGAACTTTTTTTTTTTTTTTTTTGAGAGATTTTCACTGTAGGGCGCGTACACTCGCCAGACAGACAGAGAGAGACATAGAGACAGAAAGCGAGAAATCAACCCCCAGGGGGGATGGTCACGCCGCAATCCCTTCTCCTCCATTCTCCTCTCGGGATCTTGGGCACGCACGCACACGCGCCCGGCGTGAGTTTTTTAAGCCACCAGGTCCAGGACGTGAACCGCGGTGGACTACGTGGGAGTCCAGCGACAAAGCCATTACGCTAACTGCTGGTTCCCGGAATCTGAACTTTTTAAAGAATGATTTTACTTAAGTATTTATTTATTTATTTATTTAAATTTGACCAGACTGAGAGAGACAGAAAGCAAGCCGCCAGTTCAGGATTTGAACTGCAGTCAGCTATGTGGGAGTCCAGGGACCTTAACCACCACGCCATATGCTGACCCCGGGAATCTGAATTTTAAATACACATGTCAGGTTTTTTTTTTTTTTTCCCTTAAGCTGGAAATCTGGAAAACTTTCTTCCAAATTTTATAAAGTAAAAGAAAAATATATAATAACATTAGCTATACCACATATACTTTTCTATTAATGAGTCCAAAATACATTAGCTAACTCAAGAGAAAAAAATTAAAAACACCAATCAAGAGCAAAAATAGAAAAGATGACAAATGACCTAATAGCTCCCCTCACCCCAAAAGGCACTGGGCACTAGAAAAATAGAAAATATTTCTGAATGGGTGTTATAAAAATAATAATCAATTGTCAAATGAGAATGCTGGTAAGATATGGAGCAACATAAATCCTCACATACTGCTGGTGGGAACACAAGAGTATAACCACTTAAAAGACATGGTGATGGATTTCACAAAACTAAACATACTTTCATCATACAATCCATCAATTTCACTCTTAAATCTAAATGAGTTGAAAGCAAATGTCTGCACAAAAATCTGCACATGTATGTGTTCAGCAGCATTATGCAAAACTGCCCAAACTAAAGCAATCAAGATGCCTCAATAGGTAATGGATAAACAAACTGGTAAATCCGTACAATGGATTATTTAGTAATAAAAAGGAAAGAGATATCAAGCAACAAAGACATGGAGTAACCTTGAATACACATTGCTAGGTCAAAGGAGAAAATATGAGCAATCTCGATTTCTTGTTTATTCTTATTATTGTCCCAACCCCACTACCAGTGAAAGAGAGAGAGAGAGAGAGAGAGAGAGGAATAGAGAAAGAGGGAAGAATAGAGAGAAGGAAGGTAGGAAATAACCTCCATGGAGATGGTCACACTCCAATCTCCTCTCTTCCATCTCTTCTTCCTTTCAGAATTGTAGGCACACATACAAGTGTGCCCAACGTCCCTTTCAAGCCATAGATCTAAGAATCGAATTGTAGTCAGTCATGCGGTATCCAGTTGCCTTAACTGGCTGGCCCTAAATGGGTCGATTCGAAGAGGCGATTTATTACCAGA